TTTCGAAGTATTCCTAGGGCATAAATACTGTTTATACAGCCCTCTGTTGATTAAATATATAAAGACTCAGAGCAACGTTAAGACACAACGCAAACTTACATATTGTCACCTCTTATGATGTACAGTCCAAGAGGAATTTGTTCAACGCCTTGAGTTTCGGAATAAACACGCTCATGTGAATCTTCAAGAACAACATTGACGAGTTGATCGAAACCCTGAATAGAAAACGAGTATAAGGAACTCGTAGTAATTCTTGCATTGGCGTTTAGGGTTCGTTCACTTTCCAAGCTTTCCAACCATTTAATCCGTAATGTGACGCAGGGTAGCACTGGTCCCTTACCCATAAATGTTTTGGAAATTAAGAGTATGCCCTATGCTAATGACGAGGAAACCTGTACTGTGTCTGTGTAAATAACGTCTCAAGACAGGTCATTAAAGAAAAACTGTAAACTCACCTCTGAAGACGGCCATTGCAATATGTGAGGGTGGGTTCGCAGCTGCAGTAACGTGCCTTTTTCTCCATTTAGAAGGAAAGAGAACTGGAGGGTAGTGATAACCAGGTGCTGTTCTATACTCCGCCCACGGTGTCCGCAAGGTCAGGGTACAGCATCGTGATGTGTGAAATTTTGGTGTAGGTACGCCCCCTCCGAGAGAGGGTGTCAGTACGACCCCCCCCTCACCTAAAGAGGGTCTCGGTACGAGCCCCACCCCCTCCTCAACACCTACCTACCAATTTCCCATATTTTCCTGTTTTTTCACCTAAAGATTTTCCGTCGAGCGGATGGTATCACATGAAGCAGGCAAAATCACACGAAAAGTCAACAACCAGGGAAAAGTTTTTCCCCAACGCAGCAGATTTCTCTTAAAATCACATGCGACCTCCCAACGACCAAATACGACCCCCCCCCCGTTGTTTCACACAACGATGCTGTACCCTGCGCAAGGTGCAGCACTTGCGCCGATGACAGGGTCCCGGCGGTAACGTCCTGGAGAACAACTAGAAGTGAGGAGGGAGCGCAGGCAAGCAGCGCGTTTGACTGCGACTAGGCCGCCTTGTGGGAGCGCGAGGCGGGGTATGAAGTCAGCATGGGTATTACTACCCTACCACCTCGTTCCCGCGGACTTTTGACCGGAGAAAGTGGCACAGCTGCAGCTGCGGACCCATTCCTGCATACGACAAGCATCTGGATCCACAGAGGTGAATGTACAGTTTGTCCTTAAAGACACATGGTACGCTCAAACACATTCAGGGTGTATGAGACTATCAGCCCCCAGCTGTCGATGTGTCGTGGTCAAACATGCCCAGTGAAATGGAGGATACGAGGACCGCTAAACACGCAATGTCGCTCCATTGCGGTCCGCCTTTATACGCGCGTTTTGTGGCGGCGAAAATTCCCGCCTCCTTCGTACCCGTCCGTAGCTAAGCGCGCGTGCCGCGTGCGGCTCCTTGGCACTTTGCCAAGTCCTCTAATTGCGCTTCTGAAACAACAATTAGAACGCAGGTTTCTCGATGCGGATAACACTTTAGGTTGGCCGCGCCTTTTGCCAAAAATAAGAACCAAAGATGTATGACGAGGGCCAGAACCTCAAGAGAACTGGTGCTGCTTCGCCACATATCCCTCAGGGAGGCGGCGCAGTTCCCACAAAACGATTGAAATAAAAACGGGCCGGCACCCACTCGTTAGTTTAATACAAGCGAAAACGCAATTGCCTAAGAGGCGGAATAACATTTTGCGGGTGTAGTCATGTTCACAAGTCCGAATACAAGGAGATGAAGAGACAAACGGCCTAGAAATAAAGCCACAACTAATGTACAGTGTAAAATTAAAAACAAAAAATTGAATAGACAATCAGGCGAATATGAGATTAATTAATCGCTGTGTAATATTTTTGCGATCCGCGCAGCGAATCCGCGCTCCCAAAAGCCATGGAAAAATACTCAAAGCTAACGAGTGCTTTACGCTTAGGCCGTTTTAATTGCTATGTTCTGTGGGAGCGCGGCCTCTGAGAGGAATGTTGCAGGAACAGCACAGTTGCTCTTGAGTTCTGGCCCTCGTCGTGATCTTTGGTTCTTATTTTGCAGCACCTGAAGTGCTATCCGCATCGAGGAACTGCGTTCTAATTGTATTTCAAAGCCGCAATTAGAGGACTTTGGGGCCAAAGTGCCAAGGAGCCGCACGCGACACGCGCGCTTACGACGGATGTTATGAAGGAACGGGAATCTGCGCCGCAAAAAGGTATAAGGCGGAGCATGGAGGAATTAGCGTGTTTCACGGTCCTGTATCTCCATTCCTGGGCATGTTGGGCGAGGGGGGGGGGACCACGACACATACGACACTGGGGGCTGATAGTCTCTACAACCCTCAATGTGTTGAGTGCGTACCATGTGTCTTTAAGGGCGTTCTGTAACATATCGACATTGACACGTCTCGTCTAACTCATGACAATAGATGCATATGGGTATCTACGCCACAACGACACCCAGCGTTTTGACGTCTGAAACGAGGTACAGCAGCATTGGGAGAACACTCAAAAGCCATACTTGGTCAATGGGAAGAAAGAGAGGAGTCGTTTTTTCTTCCGAGAGAAATTATTCTGAGCCGAGAGAAAGCTATTCAGGTTGTTAGTTTTTCGCGCTTCCCGCGTTCCATGCTTGTAGTGGGTTTATGTTTTTTATTTATACCCCTCCCCCTAGTTGGCAACGCCGTCAAAGTCCTGTACAACTACAATCAATCGCTGAAATTAGTTTTGTTCAAAGAGAACCTACCCCTACTCTCGCCCAGCCCACCCCTCCATGGGGGGAGGGGAGGGGAGGGGAGAAGGGTAGGTTGTCACCAAACACGTTCTAATTCCTACTATCGAAATGTCACCGAACAAGTATAAATTTTTGGGGGAACTAGAAAGGTACTCAGTAAGATGAGAGGGAGGGGGTATACGAAGGAGAAGTATCGGGGAAGTCGTCTGACGCCACCTTCGCTCCCATGATGCTCCATCTTGCTTAAAAAGACTGTCCCTCCTTCAGGTCTCAAGCACACATAAGGTATAACAGGTAAGTTATCCGGGCCACTTCTACTGTAGTAATGTAGTTAAACCTTTGATTCATTACTTTCAAACCACGAACCATTAGGAATAAAGAGAATCAAGAGCATATTTACAAACCTTCATCATGCCGACAATATTCCTTCCATCGCCTGTGACCACTGATATGACTCGATTCATGAAAGTATCCAGGGTAGACGTCATCCTGTCAATTTACCATTTGAATTCATATTTTGACAAGAGTCACAGCAACTATTACGCTCTTTCGTTTTTCAGTTGT